ACTACATGAACACGGTCTTCGCATTCGAAGCAGCAATCACATTTGAACTCGTCGTCTTTGTTGTCTACCGTCCCATGTCTTCATCGACGATCTCGAAGGCCTATATCCCTGGTCCTGAATTTGACCTTAAGCTTTGTTCCTGCATCCATTGGTCCATGTAGGTAGTCCTTGAACCCTATTCCTTCCTTCAACATTCCGTACACTTCTAGACCCTCCTTATCCTTGGATTCTTTCCTCAGATTCTGTTCTTCTCTCTCGGCACAAGCAACAGATATCTTCTCCTTGAACCCCTGTAGACCCTCCGTTTCCAGCGTTTCATCTTCGTCGATGTCGAGCCCCTTCCATACGTCCTCTACAACCTTGACCCATTCCGTGGGTTGTCTACCCCTCTTTTTGTTTGCCCACTTCGCCTCCCATACAATTCTCGGCAACCTCTCCTCTCCCATCCCGCACATGCGATACTGCCATGTCAGTTTCCTCGCGTCTCTTCCCGATCGTGGGGATTGGTTCCCCAATTCTGCCCTCACGGCTGCATTACTTGTGCGCCTGGAGCATCCTAGGATGGTTTTCGCTGCTTTCATCTGCGCCGCCTCGAGTTCTTTCATTACCTTCTTATTTCCTTCCCACACCTTTCCGGCCTACTCTAGCGGCGGTACGATTACGCTCTTCAAAACCGTCAATTTGATGCGTGTATCGAGGTGCCGGTTTGCGAGTATTGGATGCAGCTTCCCTGCTCGTGATTTGCCCTTTTCCGCTACCTTGGACATGTGTGCATTCCACGAGCAGTCTTTTGCGATCTCTACTCCGAGGTATGTGTACTGGTCCACTACTGCAATCTCCTCGATCCCCCACTTCCATCTATGTTCTACTGGTTCCTCCTTGTTCTCGTTGCATACCATGACGGCACTCTTCTTAACGTTGGCAGACAATCTCCACTTATCAGTAAACTTCTTCGCCGCGTCAATTTGCAGTTGCAGTCCCTCAGGGGTGTCCGACATACCGACAAAATCATCCGCAAACAGCATTCCTGAAACCGACGTTTCCGTGTCCCCTACTTTTACTCCCTTCCGGACTGCCTCTACGACTTCCAACAGATCGTTGATGAACACCGGGAACAATGTTGGGGACAGCGTGCAACCTTGTGGGACCCCCTGCTCAATGTCGAAGAATTTAGACAGTTCTCCGTCTAACATGACCGCGCTTTTCGTACACTCTGTCATCTTTTTCAGCACTGTCCACATTTTCCCCTTGATTCTGTATTTGGACAGGGGGGGGGGGGGCGATAAGGTCGTGTGAACGTTCGACCGCATGCGTGAGTGCGTGCGGGATTACCAGAGGGAAGAGAGGTTGTGATGTCATGGTTTTTCGTCGAAGGCAACGCAAAAGGGTGCCGCCGCGCTCACGCACAACGCTGGGTGACGAAGCCAGTGATCCTCTCTCCCGAAGCTTGGTCGAAAAGTCGCCCAAACACATGCGCTGGAGCGGAGCATTTTCTGCACGCCCGCTCGTTGACTGGTTGGCAGCCGCAGCATCAACAAGCGCGCAAGCAACCCGGGCAAATGTACAACCACACAGCAAAGGTCCTACTTCTATATACTATTTAGTCGTTCTTGCGGGAAAAATCCCGTTCGCGTCCATCAGGATCGATCCAAACCCTACCAACGAGCCCGGACTACAACCCCGCTTTTATCCATCACTCCGCACGCGCGAGCAAAACCAACCCCAAGCCAGGCGGGTGCGCAAACCTTGGTGGCAAAAAAGTGCTGCCCCTTCATCGTCGTCTCGCGGTCTCCGCTCGCCACTGTCGTCAGAGGCAAGCCCGCGTTGCCCTCGAGCCTGGCCTGCAATCGGAACTCTTCCAGGATCCTCCTTCCCCACTCCAGGGCCAGGTGGTTGTCCAGCACCTGACCTGAAAGGTCGGCGCTGTGGGCAGAGCCAGGCAGGCAGGCAGGCATGCATGCATGCAGGCCGGAGGGCGAACACCGAGGATTCAACGAACACGTAGGAACGCTTGACACAAGCTGCGGGGGCGTTCAGAAGGGGAAGGGGTGGGGGGTTTCTTGCTTGGAAAAAAATGCACTGCATTGTACAGGAGTGCACCACTACGCCTCCTCTGGTATGCAGAACACGAATACATCTGATGGAAGAAAGCTACACTACCAAAGCCCCGACGTGAAAAGCCCCACGCAAGCTCGAAACCATGCAACGCAAGCACAGGCCCAACTACTATTTAGCTGGGACTCGACAGGGGAGGAGAAACAGCACACACGGAAACTGCCGTGCGGGACCCACACCAACCCACCGCGAAACGATCGATTGTTGGTAGCCGGAGGTGCGCCGAGGTGGGGAGAGACCGAGCACGCATGAACAGCCCGAGGACAACCTCGCAGAAAAATAATCCCTCAGCCGCACCCCAACAACTCGCTCCCAACAGGCCTCGCAAACGCAGACAGAAGCACACGCACCAGTGAAGGATGGTCTTGGTGAGGAACGATCGGTCTTCGGCCTTGTCCACGCTAAAAAGGTGTTCCGCCGGCGGCGACGGCGGTGGCGTCCACATGTTTCTGCCGCGCGTGTTCTTCCGCGCCCCAGAACTACAGCCGGGCAACCCGTTCGCGATTGCTGCGGATTTTGATCGCTTCTTCGCCGGGGAGTCGACGTCATCGCCACCGCCACCGCCGGGTGGGAAACAGCTAGCCCGCGTAGTTCTCAGCCCCACCGCCCTTCTCGCCTGCGCCGCGTCCCCCCCGCCGAGCGTCTCCATCTTCGCGACGGGAGACAGGCTTCGCCCCGCCCTGTCCTTTCCCTGCCGGGACGCGACACAGCTTGCCGAAGCCCTTCCGCCCGAGCACCCTCTGCCTCGGAAAGCGGCCAGCTTCTTCGCCTTCTGCACGCACTGGAAGACATCCGCGCAGTGCTGCATGTGGCCAGACATGTCCGTGCCGAGGATGGCCTGCACGATGGTCTGGCGTACATCTCGAAACTGGGCGCGCGTCAGCCCTGAGAAGATGTTGTTCGCCCCGCCTTCCTCCAGCAGCACCTGCATATTATTTTTTATTCGTTTGGGCGGGGGGGGCGGGGGGCGGGGGGGTATCGTCGTATAGTAGCACTGCCGAAGAGAGCTCCAAGTCACCCCTCGGTACAAACATGGCGTGTTCGAAACATCGCGCGGCATGGGGGGAAGACGGGAGTATCGAAGAAACGCACGGCATGGGAGAGGACGGAAGAGCCCTGAAACCGACACGAGCAAGCAACGGATGGAAGACCAAACAGCGACAGAGAGAGCCACATCATCACCAACCACGACGGCAAGCAGCCCGCAACACGAACAACGAAGGCGTCACACAAACCCCTTAAGCTTTCCCGTCCGTGCCCCAACGTCCCGGCCATTCGCCGGTGGTAATAGCTCGCCTGGTACGTGACGTACACGTGGTGCCGCTCTAGCACCGAGCTGTCGCCGTGCTGCAACGCCAGGGGCGAGAGGGAGTTCACTTCGTAGGCGTTGTTGTTCCTGGGACGCGCGTGCGAGGGTAGGGTGCAAAGGGACGACTGGACGGTCAAGTGAGGCGTAAAACATTGTGCTACGCATACATCGGAGGGAGACCTTGCGATTGCTACACGCACGAGCAAGGCCTGGAGAGCTCGGCTGGGGGGCACCCAAACGACTTGGTTTGGCTCCCCAACGGGATCCAAGCTTACCCTGGATGGTCGATGTCGTGGCAGAACGCCGCGACGAGGAGGGCGAGCTTGTCCAGCGGGCGGAGCAACGAGTTGACTTGCGTAGTCTTCACGATCGTGAAGGACGCGTGGGTGACGCTCACGGCGTGGGTCAGGTTGTGGAAGGAGTTGGGCCGATATCGTCGCTCGACCCCCCTTGCGAAGTTCTGCATTTTCTGTTCAGAAATCTGCACGCACCGCCACAATGGACAACACAACAAACGGGTGGGGGATGGCCAACGGTGAGCACGGTTGATCGAGATGTACCTCAGAAGGCCAATCCCATAGCAAAATAGTTGTCAAGGCCTTTTCGCCAAACACCCTTGTGGTTACAGGTTGGGTTGGGGTTCGACGCGCATAGGGACAGGCAGAGGGGCGCGGCTCGGGGGCGGGGTGGGGGGTTGGGGGGTGGGGGATACTGTTGCGTTTTGCATGCCTTAGCGATTAGACCATTGACCACGCGTCCTCGAGAGGACGGAGCATTGTTCCCAAAGGACCGATCACCGATGGCCAATTGTTCCTTCCTTTTTTGCCATAGGTGGCTCAAAAATGTCTTCCCTAGTCTATCTATCCTATCTGCATCACTGCCTTTTCAAACCACTTCCTATGCCCCATTTACTGCTACCGTCTTCTCTTGTCTATTCCATGCCTCAAACATCTCCATGTATGTTCCTCCTACTTTTCCGATCTCAGTCATGTACACTTCCCGCTCCTTCTTGTACAACGGATGTTCTGCAACTACATGAACCCGGTCTTCGCACCCGGAGCCGCATTCACATTTCAACTTGTCGTCTTCGTCGTCTACGTTCCTAAATCTTCGTCTACGCTCTCCAAGTCCAATGTCCCCGGTCCTGAATTCGACTTTCAACTTTGTCCCTGCATCCATTGGTCCATGAAGGTACTCCTTGAACCCTATCCATTCTTTCAACATTCCGTACACTTCAAGACCCTCCTTATCCTTGGTGTCTTTGGTTGAATTATGTTCTTCTCTCTCCATACCTTCTCCTTGAACCTCTCTAGACCTTTCGCTTCCAGCGTATCACCTTCCTCAATTTCGAACCCCTTCCATACGCCATCTACAACCTTGACCCACTCCGTGGGTTGTCTTGTCTACCCCTCTTTTTGCTTGCCCACTTCGCCTCCCATACAATTCTCGGCAACCTCTCCTATCCCATCCCGCACGTGCGGTTCTTCTATTTTAGCTTCCTTGCGTCTCTTCCCGATCGTAGGAATTGGATCCCCAATTTGTCCTGACGGCTGCAATACTTGTGCGCTTGGAGCATCCTAGGATGATTTTCGCTGCTTTATCTGCGCCGCCTCTTGCTTTTCACTACCTTCTTATTTCCTTCCCACACCTTTCCGGCCTACTCTAGCGGCGGTACGATCACGCTCTCCAAAACCGTCAATTTGATGCGTGCATCGAGGTGCCGGTTTGCGAGAATTGGGTGCAGCTTCCCTGCTCGTGCTTTGCCCTTTTCCGCTTCTTTGGACATGTGTGCATTCCACGAGCAGTTTTTTGCGATCTTACTCCGAGGTTGTATACTGATCCACTACTGCAAGCTCCNGGGGGGGGGGGGGGGGGGGGGGGGGGGGGGGGGGGGGGGGGGGGGGGGGGGGGGGGGGGGGGCGGCGAAGATTTAGCGAGAGGGAGAGAGGGAGACAGACCCTGCAAGCTTATCAAGGCAAAAGCCAAGTTTATCACCTGTTGCTGCAGCGGCCATCTTCGTCTGTACCGGCGGTACAAAGCAGAGGCATCCATGGAAACTCTTCCAGGCACGTAACATGTCGAGAGTAGATCAACGACAACTCAATCTACCCTCTGCCCTACTTTCTCAAGTCAGGATCCGCTTTTGGTCACGGTTCGCCCACCACCCCCTAAAAAAAAATGTTTCAAAGAAACGTACGACTTGCGTTGCCCTTCAAAACCGACCCTGTTTGTGACGGAAGAGGCATGGCGCAAAAGCCCAAGGTATGTAACATTCTGCGCTCGCGTGCATACGAATGCATGGGGTAGACTACGCTAAGCACGGCACGAAAGGGGCAGTTCGTGCCTTTGATTCACCCCCCCCGAAGCGAAGCACGCCAAGAACTACAGCATAACTGCTGCTGCTGCGTGGAAGGGGCTCAAACCACAGAACCTACTAAACAGGTCCGTCAGTACCACACACCTGAAACCTGTCTGTCAGCTCCATATTTCGGAAGAACCGCCCCACCAAGGATAGGAGTTGCTCCGAGCTCAGGTTGAACAGGTTCATGCCAAGGTCCACTAGCTCCGACTCCTCCTGCGTGCTCTCCGCGCTGATCGGCCGATCAACGCCGGGACCACCCCCGCCGCCGCCGCTACCACCGGCTCCCGAAGGGCACCCCTCCCCCTCGCCGGACGCCGCCCCCGTCCCAAGAGAGACGGAGCTGTCACTTCCACCCCGCCTTCTAACGCCGTCGCCCTCGCCAGTCTGCCCGACATCCATGCCCGGGGGGGCTTCGGTGTCGGTCATCGAGCGCTGGGGCCGGCGGCGGCAGCGGCGGGGGCAGCCGCCGCCAACGTCCCCACCCCGCGCGGCCGTGTCGTCCCTCTGGCTCGGCGCCCGCTGCTGCTGCTCTCCGGGCACCGCGGCGTCCGCCAGGAACGGCGCCTCGCTGTAGAGCCTCATGATGGTGCTCTCGACGCGGGCGTAGTTGGTCGAGGCTTCGCCGTCGCCGCCGCCGCCGCCGCCGCCGCCGTTCCTCTGGCGGATCAGGGAGCGCTCGGTCATGCCCGAGTACAGGAGAGTCACCTCCGCGGCCTTGTTCCGGAGGAGCAGCTCTATTCGCGCGCAAAGGCCCACCAGCGCGATCTCGTCGTGCTCGTTGAAGACGCCATTGCCCCGCTTGTTGATAACTTCCAGCACGGCCAGGGGTCTCGCCGGCATCTTCGAGGATCGGCGGCGGCGCGGGTTTGGCTGCGGCGGTGGCGGCGCCCTCCCCCCCTCCCACGCGGCCGGCTGCTGCTGCGACACTCCCCGCCGTGTGGGCTGGAAGCCGTCCACGCCCATCGACACTCGGGGATCGGTACCGCCGTCGTCCCTCCGCGGCAGCTCGGCGCTTCCGTCTTGGAGGCTGCCGTTGCTTTCTCGTCGTTCGGGTCCGTCCCCAGCCCCCGCCCACATGCCACCGCGGCTGCCGCCGCCCGCCGCCGGCGAAGCGCACAAGACGACGTGGTCTGGAGGTGGGATTGGCACGCACAATACGCTACACGGCGAGGGAACGCAAGGAGGGGTGACAGGTCATCAGGGAAAAGGAGGCTCGAAAGGCATGATCGGAATAAAGCGAGTATTTCAGAAGGATCCCACCAAAGAGGGAAGAGTCAGAAATTGGTGTTTATTGGAGTTGGAAGGAAGGAGGCCTTTGTATTATATGGCGAAGAGGATATCTGCGTGCTCGTCTATGACGGTCGTAAATCTCGCGATGCTACCTGCCTGCGTTAACGGAGAACACCAACGGGGATACTTCTACGCAGATACTCAACGACGTAAGCGTGGTCGTGCTCTCGACATCATCGCGAGACTTGTCGGGACACAAATCTGAATCTAAACGAGGTGCCGCGAACAAAGAGGCTGGATGAAGTGCTCACGACGGTACGCGAAGAACGACGCTGCCCATGCCACACGTATGCACGCAAAACACGACGCACCCCTTGGTGACAAAGCCGGTCTGCTTGTCCCACCGCCTGTCGAAACGGGGGTCCTCGTAGCTGTCGATCACGTTCACGGTCCTTCCGGTCGCCGCCGCGTGCCCGCACAAGCCTTCCCCGATCTTGATCTTGGCATCATCGAAGTCCACTGACTTGGCCACCCACAGCTCGTCCGCCGCGTCGTCCACGAAGAAGAGGCAAACCCTCTCCGCTTCCGTCATTGTCTGTGCAACACGGACAACCTCCTCGACCATCGCGATCAGGCCCACGTCTCGCGGACTGATGTTGCTCAGCGACAGCAGCGCCTCAGTGGAGCGGTGGCGCACGTACTCCTCGTCACGAGCCAGAGCCTCCGTGAGCAGCGGCACCAGCAGTCTCCCTAACCCGTGCAGGGCTTCCACCGCCGCTGCCGAGAGCACACCGTCCGCGCAGTGGACCTGCAACACCGCTAGCACCCTCTCCGCAGGGCCCGGCGATGGCCTCGCCTCCTCCGTTTCGTCATCTCCGTCCACGTCCTCCAACTGCTCCAACGCGGAGGTTTCTGCTTCCGCTCGCGTAACTCCCACTTCAGTAGGGAGCGCTGAGACCGGCCAGCACACCACGCTGCCGCTGGTGTACTCGGTGCCGTACAAGGCCTTTCCTCGCCGCCGTTGTTGCCGTGTGGAGCAATCCTTGAGTTGCAACTTCCGTCCGGTCATCGCCGCTATGCCTGCGATTCCCTCGCCGATATTACACACCGCCCTCGTATTAAACGCAACCTCATGCTGCCGCTGCTGCTGCTGCTGCTGCTGCTGTTCAAGCTGCTTTTGGCTCTGACTACCGCCGTTGCCATCAGAAAACGAACGGCGATCTCGGCTCGGCGTCCCTTGAGCCCCTTTCGCCTCCCCGTCGCCGCCGCCGCTCCCAGAAGCAGTGGCTGGTGAGAAGTGCAAGAGTTTGTTGAACCAGTGGTCCACGAGCAAGGCGTCCGCGCTTGTCGCCCCCGTCCCTCGCAGCAGCAGGCCCTCCACCCGGCACAGGAGAGCCGCCGGCGAGATGAGAGGCGAGTCCGCCGCGGTCGACTCCAGCAGCTCGATTATCTGCAACGGAGGGTCAACGCGAACCGAACCGGTAGGCACGGTCCGCGACGGTGAGGCAGCGTATTCTACTGCTGTAGGACGGCGAGAGGGATTATTTTGCGATGCGCACGTTAGTTCTCTATACTCTAGGAGAGCTGCAACACCAAACAGGCATCACCGCAGCTGGCACTCAAGTAGCGTGTCACTTGGGGTTTGAAAGGCAGATAACAAGCAAGTGCGTGTTCTGTGAGTTACTTGCCGCCCTCCCCGTTGCGGGGAATATCTGGGTAAGGGAGTTCTGCCTATGCCAAGCCCACACAGCAGTGGGTGCCATCCTGAATCGGTATGCTCTGTGTTGACATACGTATGCATGCAACGGGGATGAAATGACACGATGCACCGAACCATTTGAGAATCCTAATCGTCGCGAATCGTCATGTCGCTTCCGAGTTGATGGTTGATGTGGATGTTGATGACTAGCAATGTTCTCCGAAGCAGTCTCCAACACCAACGCATTGGCGCACACAAAATGACCACCACGCAAGAGCTCGTCGCACGACTGGTTGTTACGCGGAAAGCCTGAACGACGCAAGCAAGCGAGAGAAGGGGGGACACAGGCCCTTCCGGGAAATGCGTAGAGGGAAAAATTATGCGTACCCGCGTAATGTACCCGGAAAATTACTGGCGCATCAATCCTATGAAAGGTTCCTCATTGATTACCACACCTGCTCGACAGTCAACGGCACGACATCAGCACCCATGCTGCTTCTTTTCCTTGCCCTCCAAAGCGACCGCGCGTCCACAATCCTTAATGGCGGGGCTGTTTGAAAGTGCCGCGTTGTTGGGCGGAGGAAGGACTATAGCGAGCGCGTCATTGTTGCGTTTCGGGTCCACTTCGAACTTGGAATAGGGGTACAACGGTCAGGATATCGACCCCCCTCACAAATACAGTAGTCGCAGCCACAGCCCCCCCGGCGCTGCTGTGCCGACATACAACACAAATATCAGCGGCGGGGGAAGCGATATGAACCTCGTAGCCGGGTATGGGAGCAACGACGATGCCAACTCGTCTGACGGAGGCGGTGGAAGTGGGCCGGCATCGAAAGAAGCAAGACCAAAGGCCACCTTCCGCGCACCACGAGTGAACGCCGCCCCCAACGTCCTCGTCTCCGGGGCGATGGCGCAGGCGACGGACTCGCTGATGTCGTCTCCGCTCGGGAGGCTGGGGCTCAAGCCTTCCAGCAAGACCGGGGGGCAGATCATGATCCACAACCCGAAGGCGGAGCACTTCCTCGCTCCTGTCCAGGGCCCGGTGCACCCGCACCGGAGAGATCTACCGGTCCCGGCGGGAGGCCGGGCAACGGGCACGGGCGGCGTGATCGAGCAGGCCTCCCTCGAGGAGTGGTCGTTCCACGAACAGTACCACACCTTCCACCAGTTCGGTTACGCGGTGGACTCCCGGGGGGACACTGTCGGCAACCTGTCTGAGCACTCCAAGCGCCAGGGGGACACGGTGCTCTCAGCGGAAGCGGGGGGGCTCCGACGCAACAAGCGAAAGAAACATGCGGGAGCGGGGGCGGCGGCGGGCGGCGGGGAGGGCAAAGGGGAGGAGAGAGGAGAGGATCTTGGCGATTCGGACAACGACGGAGTGTGGGCGCCCGAGGCGCCCCGGGAGAAGACGGACTTCGAGGCCGGCACGATGACTGCAGAGCAGACGAAGTTTCGGGAGGCGTGGGAGGCGGAGCAGGCCAAGAAGCACCGCGAGTACAACATGGAGGAGGACCACGACCGGAGAGACGAGCGGAAGATCTCGCACCTGCTCCCGCCGCGGCACAACCGCGACACCGAGTCCAAGACGGCGCGGTCCACGTTCCACGGGAAGGCGCAGCACGACTACCAGGGCCGCTCCTGGATGGCCCCGCCGGCGGGTGCGAGGAGCGTGGAGGACGAGGGGGAAGACGTCCACAAGTGCTTCACGCCCAAGAAGTGCATCCACCGGTACACGGGGCACACGAAGGGCGTGCAGGCCATCTCCTTCTTCCCGGGCTACGGCCACCTCCTGCTGTCGGCGAGCATGGACGGGTCGGTCAAGATCTGGGACGTGAACGGCGGCCGGGGCCAGCGAAGGACGTACCAGGGGCACTCGGCGGCGGTCCGCGACATCCAGTTCTCGAACGACGGGAAGCAGTTCCTAAGCGCCGGCTACGACCGGTTCATTCGGCAGTGGGACACCGAGACCGGCCAGTGCATCGCCACCTTCACCAACCGGAAGATGCCCTACTGCGCTAAGTATTACCCGGTGGACAACAACATGTTCCTCTGCGGGTGCTCGGACAACAGGGTAGTGCAATACGATGCCCGCAACGGGTCGGAGATCGTGCAGGAGTACAACCACCACCTCGGGCCGGTCAACACGGTGCTCTTTGTGGACGACAACCAGCGCTTTGTCAGCACGTCCGACGACAAGAAGGTATATTACTACTGCTGCTGCTGTGTGTGTGTTACTATTAGCATCGACCGCGCTATGTAACCGGCTGACCAATGAACACAAGTCATACTCGGTGCGGTTAAGAACGAAATAGCCTCCTAAAGGCCATGATCCAGTGCGTGGGTGTGCGTGGGTGTTGGAGTGGACCGCTGCTGTTGCGTTGTCCTTGGGTCTTGTACTTGCGGATGGATCCAGCAGCGCAAGTTGAACATTGCAAGGGATATTTGTGTCAATTCAATGCATGTTACTGCGGCTCTTTACGTGTTCCGAACGGGTGCGTGCTTGTTTACTTGAGCACCCGCAGGCGCGATGGGCCAAAGCAAGGTGTTCGGCAAAGAGAACCTCAACAGCATTTTTCTTGAGCATTTATACTGTTGTTGCTTCCAGCTCGTGGTGGCGAAGCCAACCTTTCACTAGCGATAGTGGCGAGGTGCAACGTTTATGTTTACGGTGGAGCTGCGGCATATTTGTTGGGTGACGGTAGTAAGAGAGGTACGATCGCAGTTCGGCTGCAGCAATCGAGGCTACAGTAAACCGGCTTCAGCAAAACTGCTGTGGTTATATAGCACATTGACGGTGCCGCCGGCGAACGGAGTATGTCGAAACAGCGCGGCCGGAAGCAACAGGACCGTTCGCTTTGCGTATTGTTCACCCTGCCCTCATTCTCACCACGATTTTGGTGTATACTTGATCGCTCGGGGTGTGTGGTCTTGAGACACACGACGGAAGGCTGGAGTGTGTTTTCCCCGCGCTCTATCGTTGCGTGTCCAAGAGTCGGCCGCTGGACCGATCCACACACAACTCACGACTTCCTGTGGCGCGGAAAAGAGTTGTCCTGCGTCCATCTTGCGTCTGCCACGTTTCTTTTATTCTCTCTCCTTCATTTCTTAGAAAATGTACGTAGCGTATTTTCCACCCGAAACCCCACCGCAACCGTTCGGTCCGCTTTAGATGCCCATTTACATACCCGCCGCCACCCCCCCCCCTGACACACTATGCAACGTTAACGTACCGACCCGCTCAGGTGCTGATCTGGGAGTACAACATACCCGTGCCCATCAAGTACATCGCGGAGCCGGACATGCACTCCATGCCGGCGACGACGCTCCACCCGACGGGGGGCTTCTTCGTGGGGCAGTCTCTCGACAACAAGATCGTCACGTGGACCGCCCGCGACAAGTTCCGGCAGATGAAGAAGAAGGAGTTCAAGGGGCACGTGAACGCCGGCTACGCCTGTCGCATGGCGTTCAGCCCGAACGGGAAGTTCCTGGCGTCGGGAGACGGGCAGGGGAAGATGTACATCTGGGACTGGGGGAGCACCAAGGTCTACCGCAAGCTGCAGGTGGGGCGACGTGTGTTTGTGTTTTGTGTGTGTGTGTGTGTGTTTATATTTAGCATCGACCGCGCTAGCCGACTGAAGAAAGAAAATACTTCAGTCTCAGTGCGGTTGACAACAGAAACTGCCCCTAGAGGCCGTGATCTGAGACCCCGTGAGGGGGCGTCATGGGGGAGGCTTTGTGTTTAATTTTAGCATCAACTGCGCTAACTGGCTGATCAGTAAAGAAGACGCCCGTTTCAGTGCGGCTGAAGCGGACGGCGCTTCTAAAGTTCATGATCTAGGGGCCCGTATGTGTGTGTGTGTATTTCTTCGATGCCGCGGTATCCGGCTGGCCAATGAAGATTCGTTAGTCTTTGTGGCGTACGTCAACAACGCGAAGGAACACGCTTTCTAGTCCACGGGCTCCCCCGATAGGAGCGCCGCGGAGGAGGTTGGACGAAACCGTCTAGTATAAGCCTCCAGATTCGAAGGCCTCCAGATTCGAAGGACTTTGTGTTTGTGCTTGTGCGCGTGCGTTCGTAGCGGTCCTGCACTACACAGTGAAGTCCCTCGTGCACATTTTGTTGCCGCTGTTTGTCAGAGAAATTCCAAACGCGTCATAGAAGCAACGTCCGCCTGAGACCGGATGATGTTTTCCAAGACCTAACAGTCCAGTAACGCCGACCGGGTATGACATCTTGATCGAGGACGCCCGTTTTCTTGCAGGCAGCATTTTCAGCGTCGCAGCCCTTGGCTCAAGATGGCCACAGTTTATGTAGTACTAGGTCGATCTAAGTTGCGTGTGCGTGGTGCTCCAGTTTTTCGGGCCGGGGGGGCTCCACGGTACACGACATCATCGACCGAGCACAACGATGTGTTCACGATGGAGTGACGTCGGCAGCCGCCGGTCGCGCCTCTGCCCGCCGCTGCCAATGCGTTTGCGTCGCGTCTTCATCGCCGCGTGTTCAAGAGAAATGTTCCTCCTCCTCACGCCCCCAAACACCCCTCTCTAATCGTACCGCTCTCCTCGCACCGTCCCCCCCCCCCCCCCCCCCCCCCCCCCCCCCCCCCCCCCCCCCCCCCCCCCCCCCCCCCCCCCCCCCCCCCCCCCCCCCCCCCCCCCCCCCC